TTTACATTTCCTCCAGCAGTACACCAGGGCACCCTTTTCTCCACATTTTCACCAAAACATGTTGTTTTATGTATTTTTGATAATATCTGACAGGTGCGAAATGATATCTCACGGTGGTTTTGATTTACATTTCCCTGGTGATTAATGATGTTGAGCATCTTTCCATGTGCCTGTTAGCCATCTGTATTATCTTCTTTGGAAAATTTCTATTCACATTCCCTGTTTATTTTTAAAGTGAGTTACTTGTTTTTTGATATTAAAAGTCAGTATTCTCTTTTTTTTTCACTTCTTTATCCATTTTATTCTTTTTAAGATTTTAGTTTCAGTATAGTCAATATACAATTTTACATTTGTTTCAGGTGTATAACTTAGTGATTCAACAATTTTGTGCATTACTCTGCATCATGATAAGTGTACTCTTACTCCCCATTACCTATTTCACCCATCCCCCTAGCCACTTCCCCTCTGGTAACCATCATTTGTTCTCTATACTTAAGAGTTTATTTTTGGTTTGTCTCTTTCTTCCTTTGTTCGTTAGTTTTGTTTCTTAAATTCTACATATGAGTGAAATCATATGGCATTTGTCTTTCTCTGACTTATTTCATTTAGCATTATACTCTCTAGATCCATCCATGTTGTTGCAAATAGCAAGATTTCATTCTTTTTTAGAGTAGCCAATATTCTTAAAAATAGTTTTTCCTCTCCAATTTATAGAATGTACATAGACATTCCTCTTAAAAATATTAGAACATATGGAAAACATGAAGAAATAGAAATCATCTCTAAAAAAAAAAGAAAGAAATCATCTCTAATCTCACTAATCATAAATAACCACTGTTAAAACATTTTGCCATTTTTCTAACCAAGTGTGGTTCTATGCCTAGATACAGACGAAAAGCATGATCTTATTGCAAAGTAGAGTTTGTATCCTGCCTTTTCTATTATAATGCTGTGTGTCAGCATTTCCTAGGTTGTGTCGTTAAAAATTGTTTGAGAATTTAACTATTAATGTTGACATATAAAAGCCCAAAAGATGACTGTGCCTTATAGTTGAAAGCCTTATAATGGGTTAAATTTTAAGTTTCTTGCATTTTTCACTATCTTTTTAAAAGATGTATTTATTTGAGAGAGAGAGAGAGAGCACATGTGCGCATGTGTACATGGTGGGGGAGGGTCGGAGGGAGAGGGAGTGAGAATCTCAAGCAGACTCCCTGCATTAGGGGGGAGCCCCAAACCGGGTTTGATCCCACCACCCCCAGATCACAACTTGAGTCAAGAGTTGGCTGCTTTCACCCACTGAGCCACCCAGGCACCCTGCATTTTCCACTATTATAAATAATGTGATACACAGCCTTGTTTGTAAATTTGGATTCACATCTGCCTATTCCCTTGGGGCCATGTCAGTGGTTGCCCCTTAAGCAAGAGTGTGCTGGACTCAAGTGTGTATATTTGAAAAGCCGTCTAACAGCGGTGTGAAGCATGGACCAGAGGCAAGCAGAGAAAAGATGCTGTTTGAACAATTTAGGACAAATATAAGGGTGTGAACTAAGTTATTGGCAGCAGGTCAGAGAAAAGAGGACATGAGATTCTTCAGGTGTTTTTTTTTTTTAGAAGTGAATTTATTTTTAATTTTATTTATTTATTCTTTTAATAATAAATTTATTTTTTATTGGTGTTCAATTTACCAACATACAGAATAACACAGATTCTTCAGGTGTTTGCTTGAACACGTGTGACAGAGCTCTCTGGGAACTTGCTGGAAGCTATTCGCCTTTGGTACATATTCGTTCAGGGGTTTGGGGACCTTTAGGATGGCTGTAGTTGGTAGGGCAAAGAAAGTAGCAGAGATTCATGGCTCTCTTCTCTGAGATAGGAAATACCAAGAGGGAAGAACGAGTTTGAGGGGTTGGCTTGGGGAGGAGAAATTTATGAGACCAGTATTAGATGCGCCAGGTAACTGTGAGGGAGACCGTTTACAAATTGAGTTAGCAGCTTGGGAGAGAGGTCAGAGCTGGATGATGAGAACATGGGAGCCATCTTCACAAAGGTGGTAATATCGAGACCCTGGACACAAGAGCAGTCCTGGATATCCAGGTGTTTATGAGAAGAGTACTGGACCAGGGAGGCTACTTACTCCTAAGTAGGAGACAAGGGGGAAACTAGAGAAGGAGTGAGGAGCTAAGAATAGAGGAATTCAGAAGAAAATGGTGTTGAGGAAGCCAAAAGAGACAAGAATTTCAAGGAAAAAGTCATCAAACTGTCAAATGTTGCAGAGGTCAAGCAAGGAAAGGACTGGAAGTTATCCATAGGAGCAATTTAAGTCACGTGCAAATGTGGGAGGAGCAGATTCCGGGGAGCTGTGGGGTGGAAGCCCGAGTACAGCTGTGCAGTGAGACAAGAAGGGAGGCGAGGGAGCAGAGTGTGTGTGGCCTTTTTTCTAAGAGAGCTTGTTGTGAAGGGCTGGGGAGGGCAAGGTGATAGCTCCAGTGAGATGGGGCAGTGGAAGTTTGCTTTTCTTTTCTTTTCTTTTTTTTTTTTAAGATTTTATTTATTTATTCATGAGATACAGAGAGAAAGAGAGAGAGAGAGAGAGAGAGAGAGAGAGACAGGCAGAGGGAGAAGCAGGCTCCATGCAGGGAGCCCGACGCGGGACTCGATCCCGGGACTCCAGGATCACGCCCTGGGCCGAAGGCAGTCGCCAAACCACTGAGCCACCCGGGATGCCCAAGTTTGCTTTTCCTTATTTACATTTAAACGAGGAAAGCTAGATTTCCAGATCATATGACTTTGATTAGTTCTCTGACATTTGCTGTTCACCATGTGTAAAATCTTTTTTTTGTGTGTGTGTGATTATTTTTTTGGATGCTGTATACTCTTTCCAAGCTTCCAATGAAAGCACTGCTGCCCAGACCGCTAGCATCCTGCTTCAAGTTCTGCTGAAACAGGCCGAGACTCCTGTGTTTGCTCACAGAGTCTCATTGGATCTTAGTAAGACTCCCCTCTCAGTTTTCAAGCTTCACCATGCTACTATTTGGAATTACAGTTTCAAAATTACAGAACATGACGTGTGTCCTTGAAGTTTGACCTTTACCTGAAGAATTGGTCAAAAATGGTAAATGTTTAAATGTTGCAGTTTAGAGAATGTCTTTATTGTGTTGCCAAATGCTGAATGACAGGGAGCTTTAATTCTAACAAGCTCTAATTAGAGAGAGGGGGGAAGAATCAAAGGGTGATGTCAACCAGAATCAAAGTGAACCAGAACAAGAAATACTTTTATTGGTTACAGAACATTAACAATGCGTGGTGTATAGTCTTATTCACTTCCTTTACTAGCAATGAAAGTACTGCAGGCGGTCTCTAGGGGGCTCAGACAGTCTTATTGAACACATAATCATTTTGATAGTTGTTTTTCGCTGGTAACACAATGCTGTTTGGGGCTGCAGAGAATTATTTATTTTTAGAGATAGGCTAAAGAATTCTTAGCTTTAAAAAAACAAGACAACATGGCACATATTTCCAATGTAGGAAGAAGTAGACAGTCAAGGCAACATATCCACTGGTTTCCTACAGTGAATTAGCCTGTTTTTTTTTTTTAAGATTTTATTTATTTATTCATGAGAGACACAGAGAGAGAGAGAGGCAGAGACACAGGCAGAGGGAGAAGCAGGCTCCATGCAGGGCCCCGGATGCGAGACTTGACTCTGGGATCCCAGGATCACACCCTGGGCCGAAGGCAGACGCCCAACCGCTGAGTCACCCAGGCATCCCGAGTTAGCCTATTTTTGAGTATTATTTCTCTTACTTAGAAGAATTACTTTAAGGATATTGACGTAAAAGGAGTTAAATAAAGGATACACACACGTACAAATACTTCAGTGCGCACCGACACGGGCATGTATACCATCTAGGTGCAGGATTGTGCTGTGTAAGGAACCCAGTTCTCTTTCTCTAGGATGGAGCTTACTTTGAAATTCTTGGTCCTTTCTTCTTCCTTTGCTTCCCAGTGAAGTTCGGTATTACATCTTTTAACTCCCTTTGCGACCCCTCCTGCTCCCCATCCTGTCTAGAACCTTCAGGCCATTCCTTTAATCATTCTTTCCTCATTCTAGCCAACTCTCCTTGCTCCTTGACTTTCTACGGGATCTGATTCAACCTGCCCGGGTGCAACCTCCTCATGTCATCATGTGACTGTGCCGGGGCTGCTGAGCCCTGCTAGCTAGAACTGGACAAGCCTGCCAGTTGGAGCCTCCCTGAATTCATGGGCCCCAGTTTGCTAAGCCCTCAAGAAGGCCTTAGCAATCCTAGACGGGCCCCCAAGCAGTTCTTCCCTGTATGGCTACTCTGCACGTCCACCCCCATCTTTAGACTTCCTCCCTGTCACCTGTTCCCTCTGTTTCAGAAAATGATCTTGACTCCTATCTTTTTGAGGCCACCAGGCAGGAATTCCCGATCGTCCGCCTTTCTGCTCCTCTCTGTCGCTACCTGCACATTTTCTCAACCCTTCTATCGCCTTCTAGTTCTTTTCCTGTTTCTTCTCCAAAACTTTGTCACCAGGCCGCTCCAAAAGAAGAGTGCCTGCTTGCTTCCCTTTCTGTTCTCTGGCTTTCATCAAACTGCTCTTTGACGAAGTTAAACTGTCAACACCTATGAGATATAGTGTTCAACCTTTACCTAATTTGCCGCTCTCGTATTTTAATATTACTGAGTGCTACCTCTAAGCATCGTGTTCAGTTTTATGAAACCTCCTCTCTTTGGGATTTTCTTCCATCTTAGGTTCTCGCTACTTCAAAGCTGCCATTTTCCCAAAATAGCAGGAAAAGATTTGAACATTTAATTCTTCACAAAATAATAATTGTTATGAATGTTTATAATTCAGCATCACCTATCCTTCTAAAACTATACTTTTTTTGTCATATGAATGTATCATAGTTTAGTACTTGTGACACTTTTAGAAAGTAAGAAATATATATATTAATTATCCTTGATTTCTTCTTTCCTAGTTAATGAAGGAGTTCCCCTTGCTGAGCATGTTCAACATCCATGAAAACCTTTTAGAAGCCCTTCTGGAACTACAAGCATATGCTGATGTTCAGGCAGTCTTAGCAAAGTATGATGGTAAGTTCTTGGTGTCTTTATCTACTTGAGTATTAGAGAGTATTTTTCTCTTCTTGTTGTGTTTCGTGTGATTAGATCGGAAAGATCATTTCACATAGTACAGGACTTTGATAACGATCCACTTAGAGAATTTTCACCTACAGTTTTATGATGGCATTTTATAGGATCTGAGAGTTTAATGGTTGGTTAGTGGGGCCAGAAGTGTCCAGTGGTCTGCGCTACATTCCTGTCCCCCCTCCCAGTAGGTTCCCTTTCTCCTCTTCCTGTCAACAGGAGCTATTTATGCACTGCTTTAGTGCCGCCATGGTCGGGATCGCTCAGAACCTCTGCAGGCCCCACATACCCTGTTGGGACAGCCCCGACTGTTCGAGCTCCTGCTAGGACCCCACGTCGGATGACTGTGACCACTCCTGTTTGGTCATGTTGATCCTTTGAAGCAACGTAGAACAGCTAGTAGCCCTTACTACAGCCCTTGCGACAGCTCAGGAAATATTTGAAGATAAAAGTAAGGTGCCCTTCATCCCAGGTCTTCTCCTTATTAGCCTGTCACCTGTTCCCTCTGTTCCAGAAAATGATCTTGACTCCTATCTGTTTGAGGCCACCAGGCAGGAATTCCTGATTGTCCCCCCTTTCTGCTACTCTCTGTCACTACCTACACATTTTCTCAACCAGGAAATATCCTACCCCCCCCTTCACCCCCATTTCTTTACGTGAAGGGCTTTGAAGTTCCTTCACCATTCAGGTTACTTACCCATGAGCTTATTTCATTTTGCCAGTTCTTAATAAACCAGAAAAATAAACTGACACATGTCAGAGATTTCCAAACTCTTGTGTTATGTTGCCATTGTCTGTGAATTCACTGTTTGATGAATTGCATATGAATTATCCACGTAAATTCCCTGCCATGACGTAGCTCCTGGAATCTCTGCAGAATTTTATATTATTCTACCTATTTCGTTAACTCTCTCCCCAAGATAAACATGTTTGCTTATAGAATGGATGTTAGGGGGTGATTACTTTTACCACACGCTCATTTTTTGCTTTAAAAAGTATTCTGTTTCTAGTAAGCATCTTCAGGACATTTAAAGAACTACTCAGGTCAAAATTTCCAGGAATTCCTCAGACACATAGAACAAAGGATTTTATTTTAACACACAGTTCTTCATAAGGGATCCCTGAAGCAGGTTGGAGTTGTTACCTCCTACAGTTGGGGAAACTGAGGCACTGGGAGACTTAGCTGTGTTTTGTTGTTTTTTTGTTAATTCCTGCTCAAATCAGTGGAAGCTATAAGCCCGCAGCCAGTGATGGCATTACTTGGCCTGTGCAAACATAAGCACCCCGTGTAACAAGATACAGGCTACCTAGTATGGAACTGATTTTAGGAAGAGAGAAAAGTATTTGTGGCGTGCTTGACAGTAAACAAAATAAAGACTGTTTGGCCTTCATGTCAGCTCACTTTTGTTCTTTGTTTACTTTCTGGGATCTCACTATTTGGCTAATCTTGGGAATCGAAGCCAGAAGGCTACCTCATAAGCAAAATGCTCATACACCGAGGGTCTTTTGGTACAAAAGGAACCCAGTTCCGTGTACCTGGGTTCAGGTGGCCACGCACATTTCCCAGCTGCTCCCCTGTAGCCGTTGTGCCATAGCAGCGTTCTGGTGTTCTCATCCCTCGTGCTGACCTATGCTCAACCCACTACACCAAGGCTTAGGAAAAAAGATCTAACTGGTAGAGCCTTTGATACCTCAAGTCTCGTAAGGCTCCTCTCGCAGCGATCTCAGCTCATTACAGACATCATCAGCTTTGTGTTATAAGACTGATTGTAAAATGGAGAAATGAACTCATTTGGAGCTTTCTGTGATCTCTATCAATCCCATTGCACAGCCTCGGCTCCACAACAACCAAACGCTGATTTATTAGATTCTGATAACATATGTTCACATTATTTGTTATAACAGCCCGTCCCACCCTCCGCTAAATCTTGGCTCACACTTTGCAAAATTCCTTCGTCGCGAATGGACAAACTCACCATACCAGGGCCCTTGTGTTGAGCTTTGTTTATGTTGTGTACCTGGCAACAGAGATGATGTTCTTATTCATTATTCATGGAAAAAGAGCCTCATTAGTGGCAGGACACAAACTGTTGCTGAGATGCCTTGGTAGGAGTTTTGAGTTCAGCAGTTGTCAATAGACTGCAGATGACCTAACCCCGACTGAATTCTGGAGGGTGTTTTGGTGAGGACTTGGCCCAGGCCTGTGTCATTTACAGTAGAAATAAAATGAAGTGGCTGCTGAAGTTATTGTTCTTGTAGAATGAGCAGCAGCCACACAAGACTGTTAAAAAATCCGCCTCTTGTTTCTCACCCCACCCCATAAAAGGGGCTCTTTCAAGGCCATCCCGGCTGCTTTTCCTGGAGACCCAAAGGATCTTGACTGGGTTGTTGCCTCATTTTTCTGGCCCTGTGCAAGAAAGTGTGGGTGCTTTAGAGGGCTTGGAGTACAGACAGCAGTTAGGGGCGTCCTGTTCTTCACCCTAGTTCGGATGTCATCCGTCTTATCCACGAGATGCTGCAGACAGTACTTGGAATCCCAGCCTCTCCATCCCTCTTGATGGAGCCACACCCAGAGCAGCAAGATTATATGTTATCTTTGCAAATTGGAATGCTCTGGTTGGGTAGCTATTTCTTGGATGGTTTATGGGTACAGCGGTCCTCCTTTATTACTTTTGCTAGGTGGCCGAATTTTTCAAATAGTGTGTTGGGAAGTGACACAGTGGGATTTGTGCTGCTTCCCTGACCTTTGCAGAAACGATTTAGAAATACGACAAGGCACAGGGGTGGGGGGTGCGGGAGCCAACATGTTCAAAGGAAGGAGGGAGGTAACATATATCCCTTTGCCTCATTCTTTTTGTTCTCCATCTTTTAAAAAAATTTTTTTTGGCTTTGAGTTTTCAAAGTGACATTTACAAACTCCTCTTACGGTGAAGCACCTGGATCCCTAGTAGGATGGCCAGTTAATTGGTCATACCTCCTTGTAATCTGTAGTCTAATTTTGATTTTTGCCCTTGAGATAACTTCTCGTGTTATATTATTCCAGCCATTAGTCTGAAGTGCTGTCTTGCTGTCCTCAGGAGTTTTTATACTCCTTTTTTCAATTCACTAACCCACATTATGCGTGGGCAGTTTTTTATCCAGGTCCTTCATACAACAGCAGCAACAACTAGCATTAATTGAGTTCTTGTATTTTGCCAGGGTCGGGTATGAGTCTAAGCTCCACAGATGAACTCACTTATTCTTACCACAGGCATACGAGGCCAACACTGTTATCACTCCTGTTTTATAGCGGTGGTAACTGTACAGAGATGAGTAACTTGTTCAAATGAAGAGCCTAAGAGTCAAAGTAAAGCCATGGAGACGTTATATTGTAAGAGAAAGAGACAAACTGAGGTCAGTTTTTGTCTAATAAGATGTGAATTCGATGAGGGAAAGAAAGCCAGAATAAAAACTGAGGTGGGCTGACTCCAGGCCCACGGTCTTGGCCGTCATGCTTCCACTGTCTCTGCTGTTGGCGGTATCTTTTTTATTTTTTATTTTTATTTTTTTGGCGGTATCCTTTTAATTGCTTTTCATTAATGCCGTTCTTCTTGTTATTATTAGCTTCAGTTTATCGAGAACCTACCGTGTGCCAAGCAGGTTATGCATATTACCCGTAACCCTCAATAACCTTGCAAGGAGATAGTTATTCCATTTCTGCAGATGCAGAAACTGAGGCTGGTGAGTTTAAGTAACTTTCAAGACCACATTCCTTGAAAACTGCAGAACTGGGATTCAAATCCAGGACTATCTGGCTCTAAAAGCCCATGTGTTTTCCATAAATGTAAGCCTTGCTGAAATGACTTGCTCTGCCTCTCTCGCTCCTTTTAGAAAGGCACGAATGAGGTGGGCTGGAGCTGTAGTGCACACTTCCAGTGATGCCAGATTGTCTTTTAAGATTCCTTTTTAATAATTCCTTAAGAACTTGGTATATCTCTGTTTGCTTGTCTTTCTGAAACTGCCTTCAAAAATGGCTTTCTCTTCTCAGTCACCTTGTGCCTGATTTCTTTGTCACAAAGGGAGTTTGATGTATGGTGTTGATTTAATTTGAGTTCATCATCTTTTTTTTTTTATTTCTAGTCATACATTAGTTATAAACACAAATGTTTTTAAGATCATTAAGTCATCAGAACCTTCTTTTAGAACCATCGAGAAAGTTGTTACAAGCTTTGGGTTGCCTTTCAAAGGAGCTTATAGGCCACCTACGTTGAAAACTGAAGTCTCAAAGATTAGGGTGATAATGTGGGAAAGAATTCATGCATTTTTTATTCATTATCATTTGTGCATTTCAACGTTAGAAGAATCTTATAGAGCAAGTGGATGCGAGTGTGATTGCTGCAAGTTACCTTTGGGAGCATCTAGTTTTGTCTGTCTCAAGTTAGCAAATTTGTCACGAGAATTAAAGAAGTTAATCCATGTTAAATGTTTAGAACCGTGTGGGGTACACGTTAAGCATTCAGTAACTCTTCGCCATTATGAAGAGCCAAGAGCCCTCCTGAACTTCACCACGTTCTCAGTCAGTTTTGTTCGAAAGGAAGACCGCATATAAACTGTCAGTCAAAATGAGAGAATAGGAGCCCTGGCTTGTGCCCAGTGTTAAGGCCTGTTACTAAAATGAATTATGGATCTAATAGGACATGTAGATAGATAAATATTTGATAAGAATGGAAATGCTGAATTGCATCTACAAACAATTCTTAAACTTTTGGAAAGCTGAAAAAAAAAAATGCCAGAGATTTTCATTCCTGATCAAAAGACAAATTGTTTTAGCCTTGGGGCAGTTTGCACCAGTGGCGATATAAATCCAAGCCCTTTTGGATATTTACTCCATTAGGTCATTTAGTGATTGCCCTTAATTTGGTGGCAGAAATTTCCCTGCGAGGGACAAACTGGTCTGTTATATAGTC